TCCTAGAGCTACGGCAGTGGTACTATCGCATTCGCCTTGTCAAGCCGCGTCGAATGATATATATTTTGTTCGGAAAAGGTCAAGTTTCATGTTGACCTCATGTGACCTCGAATGACCTCTGGTTGACCTTGACACATGAAAGGTCGTTTATGATGGATTTGTACCCGCTGATCACGAATCTGGCATCTATTTTCCTCTAAGCCTTCATTTAGAGCTTCCGGATGGCAAAATTGTCTTATTTATTATAACTAACTTGAATCAGTGAAATAGCCTCTAGCAGGGATACTCTTCTGTGACCTTGACCTTTGAGCAGCCTTGTATCGTAAGATGAACCACAAATAGGGAACTGATAAGCCTCAAAACATTTCAAAACATCTTGGAAGTTAGCACGCAAGATGTGCGAAAAAGTGCCAAGTTTGAGGTCAATTTTGAGCGTGACCTTGACCTTGACCTTTGATTTGGAGCACATTTTCAGAATCCTCAGATTCTCTTCTTTCGTTTGACACCCAATTTTGCCGGTTTGATGCAGCCTGCCGTCCTCTAGAAGGCTTACTTTGAGATCACTACACATGTGCCGGTTTTGGCCTTTGACCTTGACCTCTGACCTTGAAAATTGACCTGAGGTCAAAAATTTTAGGTGCATTAGAATCGCCTCGTAAGGACCTTTCGTTTGGTATCGCTTTTGTTTCCATAGCTCCCTTATTTACGGAGTTAGACAGGGGGGCAAAAAACGCCCCCCCCCCGGGCTGCGGTGGTTGGGATTACCCCCCGGGTCCGGCCGGGTTAAATTAAACGCAGGTGATGCTACTGTGTTTACTATTAGCAGGGGCGCCGCCACGGATTTTTGACTGGGGGGGACGGACTGACCGACTGAAAACCTTAAAATAGACATTCTTACCGTGGCTTTTTCGGTCCGACGTATTGAACGTTTAAAGCAAATATGCCACTTTTAACATTGGGTTTTAAACTGAAGTAACAGTTTTGAAGCTTGAGCTGAGACAAGAATTAACAAATCAAGAGCTTTTATGGCCCAACGATCAACCTAGCCAAAGATATCGGTATCGATTTTAGGTTTGAAGACTGAACTCATTCCCATAGTCACTTTGTCATTCCATTACCGAGGAATCCATTCTCTTACGGAAAAATGCTAGCCAATCAGCATTCAGCTGGTTTGAACTACGTAATACGAGTATGCTTTGTCAACGCGTAATCAGCTTCCGCTGCAATATAAGTAGCCTCTACGAAAGATGGAAAATCGGTCTTATGTAAAAATAAAATAAAATCCTCTTTGCAAATATTCATTATATTATTTTCTGACCATTTTAAGCATAAAAACTCATAACTGTGGCAAAACAACTGGTTTGAGGAAAGTACTTTAGGTATGGCTATAGACCGATTTCCCACCAAGTACCTACCTATATACACATCCGATGTCCGATTCAATTTGAAACGGCAAAACCTCCAGTGCTCTATCAGGCTATAATTGCTGATGTATGCCACTAATCTGATCGGTAATGCATATTGCATAGGAAATGCATATTGCATACCCGCGTGGGGGAGGGGGCGTTGTACCTATAGTTAGTAACTTCTTGGATTGTGCATGAATCGGCGCGAAGCGCCGCGGAAATTGGCAAAAAACATCAGGCAAAACTGCTCCAAAATGTGAATTTTGCAGCCCGTGTAACAAGCTTGATACCAGAAAACCTTAGGCCAGGTCACCAAGTGAAGTAGTCAAGTCGCCTCAAAGTTTTGTTGTCCTCTCAACCGTATAAGCTTATTTCTTAGAAGCTGGAAATTTAGTGTCGTGTGACTGCAGAACTGTGGGGTCGGAGCCGAAATCAGTCGGAGTTGATAGTTTTGGCTAGAGTTGGAGTTGAAGTCTTCGAAATTGTTCGGATTTTGACTTCGATGTCGGATTGGTTTAAAGTCATGCTCTCTTGGCTGGTTTGACGAAATATACGAGTAGGTATTGGGCCCATTTTCGGCCAGTCGTGTTATACGACACACGTTGATCACGATATCAAAAATCGGCAGTTCCGCGATAACAGGTCGGAAAAGAGCTGGAGATTTTGTTGGCCGAGGTGTCAGGGGTCAGACCAATGCATGTAGGCCTGCACACCCCATATACCTACTGAGTATGTAAACCTCCTGGACCCTCTCAGATTCGGCACCGTTCTATCTCTTCCATCCTCAGGACAGTCAAATCCTTCTCCTCCACACCGCAACCCCCTGCTCCGGGCTGGATGGGCAACTATCCCTTGCAGGAATGGCTCCACTGGAGCTATAGTCCTTTGCCGGGTGCATTGAATGCCAGTGGGCTGGGCTGCCTGTTCAATTGGTCGGGTTCAGCCCAATTGTGGGTCACTGGGGTGGCTGCCCAGACCAATGTCTCCCACTAATTCTTTCATTCTTCCGCCTCTGAAATGGTCTCATTGGACAGACGGGCCTAAGCAAATTTCGGGTATGGATAACAACCAGTAAAACGCCTTTTGGGGCGACCAACGGAGCGAGCGAGAGGGTGGGCCTTGCACGTGCGAAATTGCAAGGGGGTACCTCCAACTAACTTGTGCACTGCACCCTACTAACCGGTCCCTAACGATGTGCCAAATTTGAGCGCAATCGGCCTAGCCGTTCTCGAGCTCTGGTCTGGAACCGGCACCCTGCACGTGCGCACGTGCAAAATGGGTCCCAACTGACTTTTGCACGGTGCCCTACTAACCGGTCCCTAACCATGTATCAAATTTCAGCACAATCGGTTCAGCCGTTCTCGAGATCTGGAATCGACCCCTGCACGTGCGCACGTGTAGCAGCACCCCAACTGTAGCACATGAATATGCTAGTGGGTACCTACCTATACATGCCAACTTTCTTTGCCAAAATTGTTACAAAACTGACGCCTCTTCATTTTTCACGTGGCACGTGCATAAGGGGTCACCCACATGCATCGAGAATAGTCCAACACTTGTTAGAAGGAATAAAGCTACCCTACCGAAAATTATGGCGTGTAATTCGGTCAAGTGGCTGCTGAGATATAAGCCTCGCAAAAGCGTGCCGGCCGCTCACACTCAGAAATTTCCGTTATCTACGAAAGACTAAGCTCGCTTCGCTCGCTCCGTATTGAGTTTGGGGGGGACGTCCCCCTTCCATTCTGAGAGTGGGGGGGACGCGTCCCCCCCGTCCCCCCCGGTGGCGGCGCCCATGACTATTAGGTACAGCTAATAACAGACGTGCTTGCCATTACAGCTAAAAAAAAAAAAATACTGCCTCGTTAATGCTATAACTGCGAAGCGACTAACTGATCTAGAAACTTCTGAATGCTGCAGGTCTGACCCCGGTACCGTGGAGCGCCCACGGTTGACGGTGGCCAGCCTCCCGAGCCCCTCCGCTGGCAGAGCACTGGCCAGCGGGAGCAGCCGGGCAGAGTGCGGAGGTCCGGTCTTTGTGCCCCCTCTCCGCAGAGCCCAGCCCCCTGTGAGGGGAGGGGGAGGTCAAATACCGCGCCGTGCCGCCGTGTCGCCGCCGGAGCACGGCTTTGAAGCACGACGGTCGGGCTGAGCAGGGCGGAGCACGGCCGGCTGCTGAGGTGAAACCGCCGGGGGGGGGGGGGGGGGGTCGGGGCGGGACGGAGCCGCGGGGCGTGTCCGCGGTCGGCCGGAAGCCGGAGGTGGGGCGGCTGATAGTGCCTCTGATAGAGCTGCCGCCGCCGCGTCGGCCGTGCTCCGACCTGCAAGGGCCCCCGGGCGGATAATGGAGGGCGGTGGCGGCGGCGGCGGCTGGGGGGGGGGGGGCGAGAGTGGGGGGGGGGGGCACGGGCGGCGGCGATGGCGGCGGCGGCGGCAGCCGGTATTGTCGTTTCCGACGGTGGCTGGAAATTGTCCTCTGTGGATTGTCGGCCGTTTGTAGTCGGGTCAGAGTTTCTATGGAGACCGTGGCACCGGCCAGCAGAGATCGGGCTACTGAACTACGGAACAGAGCAGTCTGCCCTATTGTTGTCGACAGTGAACCTTCGGAACAATATAACTAAGTCCGTTCTGAGCATATATCTATCTATCTACATATTCTAAAAACAGCTGGGAGAAACTCACATTTTGTTTCCTAGATAGTGCACTCTTACAGACAGATTTTACCGTTCTGATGTGAAACAGAAGCTCAATCTACCATTAGAATTCGTCGTAGAATTATGCACTTTGTCTGTTTACGCAAGAAGTTGAACCTATCCTAAGCGCCAGTTCAGTCTGCCTTCCGTCCCGCGTCAGCAGGGGAATCCTCGTGACGCCTCAGTCCGTGACGTTTCTCCGGCCCCCGCCACCGTGACGCCACTACCTTCCGGCGGCGTCACGGGCCGTTACCCCGGCCCCGGCGCGCCGGCGTCTCAGCTGACCCGACCGGAAACACTCCTTCCGTGTAGGAGCCGTGTGATCCGGACTGTCGGACTTACCCAGCAACGCCTCAAGGGGAAGGAGTACTTCACGGACCGAATAAAATGGTAACAGGAGTCGAAGGTAAGGAAGCATGGATGAGGTAAAGGGCAACTAAAGAAGTCTTTTTTTTAGTTTTTTTTTTCATTTAGGTAGTCTCCTTCTCCAGGTATGCCCTCATGTTACGACTGTGAGCTTTGCTGATTGGCGCCCTGTAACGAATAAAAACAATCTATGGCCTGTAGCTATCCAGTTACAAAAGTGCCCCTCCGCCCTCCCCCCACAGGTCAGTTCCAGATTAGTATGCCGTAGCCCCCTCCCCGTTCTGTCCTGTGACCCTCTATCACCCCTGTGGCACGTGCCCGGCCGTCGGTGGCCCTCTCCTGTCGACCAGGTGCCGGCCAGCCGGCCTCCTCTGCACCCCTCTGCAGGTGCGCCCCTCGGCCGGCGCCGCACGCCCCGCCCCCGACGCCGCCGACTGGCCCACTGAAGGAGCCTCGGCCGCCTTCGGCCAATGGGCGGCCGCCTTGGCGGTGACGTCAGCGGGCGAGGAGGGTGCCGTCGACGCGATAAGTTTGGTGTCGGCGCCGGCGGCGGCTCAGACCGCGCCGCGCCGCGCCGCCGACCGGTAGTGCCGTCGCCGCCCCGATGACTAGTGTGCTGGCGCCGTGCAGTGTGTCCGCAATGGGCGTCAGCCGGGTGGAACGGACGGCGCCGCAGCTCGACAACGCCATGCTGCGCGAGATCCTGGGCCGCGGCGGCCCGGCCGGCCGCCACTTGTCGGCCAGTCCGCCGCCGAGCGAGCCGGGCGCCGCGGAGCGCTCCTCGGCAGAGATGCCCAGCCCGCCCGGCTCGCCGTCTGAAGACAAGAAGTCACGTCTGGAGAGCATCGTCTCCGGGATGCAGCCGGCCGCCGCCGCCTCTCCGCAGCCCGTCAACGGCTGCAAGAAGCGCAAGCTCTACCAGCCGGTGCAGCACGAGGCGGCGGCCCGCAGCGGCAGTGACTCGGAGCCGGAGCCGGAGCAGCCGGAGCCGGAGCTGGGTGACGGCGCCGCGCACAGCGAGCTGAGCTCGGTGCGCAGCCAGCTGGCGCTGATGCAGGAGCGGTACGCCCAGCTGTACCGCGAGCAGGCAGCCGCCATCAACAAACAGGAGCAGGAGCAGCGCGACCAGGAGCCCGACCAGGAGCCGCAGACGCCCGAGCAGTCGCCCGAGCGGCCGCGCGCCGAGGCCGCCGCCCGACCCACGCCCACCCGGCCCGACGACACTCCAGCGGCCAGCTTCATCGACTATGCGCGCCGCGTGCTCAGCGCCGACCTCAAGAGCAAGGAGTCGGAGCGGCGGCCGCGGCCCGCCGCCCCCGCCGCCGACGTGCAGGGCCTAGCCGACGCGCTCAAGGCGGAGCTGGCCACGTCTCTGACGGGCCTGGTGGACTCGATCGTGGAGCGTTGGGCGCAGCAGCGGCGCGCTCAGGTCAAGGCGGCAGAGGCCGAGAGCCAGGCCTCGCCGCGTGCCGAGATCCTGCGCCGCATCAGCCAGCACAACGGCCGCTTCCCGGCGGCGGCGGCTGCTGCGGCGGCGGCGGCGGCGCTGGGGGGCGAGCTGCCACCGTTCGGCCTACCGCTGCGGCCGCCCACCAGCATGGCCCACATGTACCCGCCGCACAAGGGCTTCTCGGGCCTGAGTCCGGCGGCCTACGGCCTGCCGCCGTTCTGCGCGCCATCACCGGGCGGTCAGCAGGAGCAGGAGTCGCCACTCAGCCTGGTCGTCACGCCCAAGAGGAAGCGGCAGAAGGTGTCGGACCCGCGGCTGGGCCACCTCGACTCTGACTCTCCACCGCCGCCGGCCGCCGCCGCGCCGCCGGCACCGCGCACGCTGCCCGGCCGGCTGCCCGACTCGCCGTTCCTGGGCTACCCGTACTACCCGGCCGCCACGCGCAGCCCGTCGGCCAGCCCGCCCTCGTCTCGGCCGACGATGCTGCACCCGGCGCTGCTGTCGGCGGGCCGGCGCTCTCCGCCGGATCCGCTCTCGTTCCGGCGCGATTCAGCGGTGGAGCGGTCTGATGGCCTGTCGATGGACGCCGGCTACCAGCTGGGGGAGACGACCCACCACCACTCCCCAGCCGGCTTCCACGCCAAGTTCGACGGTAAGCGGACGGGCGAGAGCGTTTGTTAACGACGGGGTAGGTGTGCAAGATGCAATTGATCAGAATTCATTGTCATGTATTTATTTGCCATTCATTTATTCACACGTCGCTTTTAGTTTTACATACCTAATTCTTTGCGAACCGAAGTAGCATGCCTCCATAGTTTTGTAGTCCATAGGTTCGATGGATCTCCAACAACCATTAGTAGGAACGAGCATCCAGAATCATTTTCTTGAAAAAATATTCGTTAAGTTGAGTATATCGGGTCGCCGAGGCCTCGTTCCCGTCTAACCCGCCCCGTCCCGTCTCGGCAGCCCGGTCCGGTCTCTCGCTGACCGCCGACTTCTCGTCGACGCTGACGCCGATGCACCTGCGGAAGGCCAAGCTGATGTTCTTCTGGTCGCGCTACCCGAGCTCCTCGGTGCTCAAGTCCTTCTTCCCCGACATCAAGTTCAACAAGAACAATACCGCACAGCTCGTCAAGTGGTTCAGCAACTTCCGGTAAGTGCTGGTGGCGGTCGAAAAGAGAGGGGATGGGTTTCGAGACTAGCCTTTTTGAAATTGGAAACAAAAGTGAAATCAGGGCCACCTGGGCTGTGTCACGATGTTATTTTGAACTAAATTTGACACAGAAGAGCTACACCATGTTCATTTCCAGTGTCGGATGGTTAATTTATGCAGGTCTTATTAGCCATCATTAGAACGATAATAGACTTTGAGAATGTATCCATTTGCTAATGGTGGCCAGGGGCGAATATGGTCTGCTCATTTTCGGCCAAGTGCCGCCATAAGTGTGGCGTTAATCACTGACAGAGGCCGTGTTCAGGGAAGGCGACCCGTGTTCTGGCCCGTTAATGCCTAGTCAGACAGGATTCACTGCCATGGCTGTAACAAAAGGCACCGGCTGGGGTTTCTGATCCTAAAATAGACGCCACCTTTTCAGCTAGAAACTGAGACCGAGATTAAACAGAAACATAGCATAACACATCAAAGACCAGCATCAAAGACGTATAAACGCATCGTTCCTCTCTGAGCCAGCTGTTTTTACATAATTAGCTAGCGCAGCGGCGTAATTGATGCGCCGCACCTTGGTCAGTCGAGAGCGGCGGCTTCATATCTGCTCGGTCCCGGGGATGATATCGACGGCTGGTTATTTACGGCCACCCCGCGGCCTCGACCCACTCTCAGTGGCCTCCAGCAGTGCCCGCGGCATGAAACAGGTCGGGGATTGGGTCGGACCGTGCAGCGACGGAAATCCGACCCGCTCCTGTCTGTGGGGGACGCCGTACTGAGCTGAACTGACGCACCACAGTGATTAATGAGGGACATGTGTTCAGTCTGAGGCACTTTGTCACAGAACAGACTCAGGCGGGAAGTTTTCTGTCGGTCCGTCCGCACCTGTAGCCGCCATGCCAACAGTCAGTCAAGGATGTAGTCAAGTAAGCTCTGAAAAGCGAATGCCGGGGGACAAGTTTCACTAGGCATGATAAAAGCCACATTTGAGTCAACTTCAGCTTTTAGTGTCTAGCTGAGTGGCAGCGAGCAAACGTCAAAACGGCGCGAGTGGGTGATTCGATTTCTCACGAGCCCGAAATGGCCTGAAAGCATTAATTGAAGTGGATCGGAGCCTAATGCAGATGGCAGAAGATTGGCCATAAATCTGGCCGAACAAACTCAAACAAGGCGTCGTCACGCGCTCGAGCCGGCTGTGCCACCGCCACAAGAAATATTACCGAGTAAAGAAGGCAAAGTTGGCGAAACTCGACAACGCTCGTGTTGCGTCGGCCACAGCCGAGGCGCCCGATGGCGACTTGACACGAGATGCCGACCAGAAACGGCCCATAACTTGGTGAGCCATCGGCGTCAAACTGCGACCTGGCGAACGCACTAATGGTAGTTTACAGCTGCGGCGGCGTCGGGCCCGGCTCCCGGCCATCAGCCATTGATTTATCCGCGGCTGCTCGGCGCGGGCCGCGGCGGCGTCCCCTCCTCCCGGCACCGCTGACGGCTCCGGTGACCGTGAATTCCCGGTACCCTGCGCGGCCATCGATCGCCGGGAAGTGGGCTCTGCTCCCGGCCCCTGGGGCTCCCGGACGGTCCCGGGGGCGTCCTCCGCCGTCGGCGCTCCCTCTCCACCCTTCCCTTCCCTCGCCCCGACGGCGTCAGACCGTCGTTCATCATCGGCGCCGACGCGTCGCCGGCGTCGTCTGGCGGCGCGTGCCGGCTCCGCCGCATTTCCATCACAAAACAGCGCCAGCTTATCGCCGCTTTGTCCTCTGCCACCGGCGCGTTTGGCGCACAAGATGGCGCCAAATTGAGGAGCGCGCGCGGCCCGCTGCGGCGGCGCAGACTCCGGTCGGCCCTGCGCCGGTTAATTAAAGAGCAGTCCGGACAGATTGGGTGCCTCGGAGCAGTCGGCTTATGTAACCCAGGGAGGGGTCATTGGATTAGACAGGGAAATATACTGGCGCAGAGGAACGAAGGTCAGGTCATAGGGTTAGAGGAGACGAACTCTTTCCCACGAGAAGACATAATCGAGACAAGCTCCCCAAATCTGGTCAAGCTCAACTACGCACGCTATGACTGTTTTGTTGAGTTTTCTTGCTGAAATTCTCGCCTGGATATTTAACGTTTCCCGTAACCTGTTTGACTTTCAATTCACCACATGCGCATCTGTTGGCCCGGGACTCTTTTCGGCGCAGGGACGGGACTAGGAGCGCCGGAAAGGGACCGGGGCGGGACGGTGCGGTGCGCCGGGCGTCCACAATCAGCGAACCGTGGACGGGAAGTTCCTCTATGTCAGCGGGTCGCGGCGCTCCGCTGGGCTGGAGCAGCGCTGCCACTATCGAAAGTGACAGTCGCCGGCCGCCCCAGCCTGACTGAGGAGACCCATTAGACGAGGCGCCACGTGAAATAAGCTCGATTCACTTTCATCAGCAATTTGCCGAGCGTCTCTGAGCAGGCAGAGTAGCGGTGATCGCCAGCGTGACGACTGTTTTGGTCGGACTGGTGACCTGCTCACCAGCCGTGCCGAGGAGCCATTTTCTTGACAACAAAGAGTTACAACATTGTTACAGAGAGCTAATGATGACATATAGGCACCTAACCGTCGAAAGTCAATCTATGAAGCAGATGCCATAACCTTGTTGATCATTCCGAGATAGGAGTCTTGAGCACGCCACTTCAACGTCAGACCCTTGAGCGGCCCTTCGACTGACGGCGACTTTTCCTCCTTCCGCAGAGAGTTCTTCTACATCCAGATGGAGAAGCACTCGCGCCAGGCGCTCAGCGAGGGCGTCAAGTCGGCCGAGGAGCTGGTGGTCACCCCCGACTGTGAGCTGATGCGGGTCATCAACCTGCACTACAACAGGAACAATCATATCGAGGTGAGAGCCAGCGGCCCAGCGGGACCCCTGGTGGATGAGAGAGGGCTTATAGACATGACCGAGTCGCAGCGACTGAAAGGGCTCATCGTGGTCTTGCTCGACTGCCGGCCGTGACGGAGCACCGCCGTGACGTTAACGTGACGTGACGATCGAAGGGGATGTTTAGTCACGGCAGCAACGCTTTGTCTCTGAGCTGCGGAGAAATGGGTGGCGGGTCGCGCCTGGTGACGTAACCTTTAACCGACGCCGGTGTGTGCTGGTGTGGGACGTACAGACTCTCTGTGCCTTTCGAGCAGGACGCACCCCTCTCAGCCCCGCTGACACACCCCTCTCCCCCGGCAGATTCCGGCGGACTTTATCTCCGTGGCCGAGGCGGCGCTGCGCGAGTTCTTCAGCGCCCTGCAGGCCGGTAAAGACGCCGAGCCCAGCTGGAAGAAGGCCATCTACAAAATCATCGCGCGACTCGACCAGAACGTGCCCGAGTACTTCCGGTCGCCGAGCTTCCTGGAGCAGCTGGAGTGACGGGCGGCTGCAGCTCGGCCGCCGCCGATACCCTCTCTGAGAGAGGCCGATCCACAGAGTGCCTGCGTCAATCGTCCCGTGCCTTCCGCTGTACATAGCTCCGGGACATACCCAGTCCCCGAGCACGTGAATACGTGGCCATAGCCCGCCGCCGGCTTGTGCGTACACAGCACAGCCATGCGTACCTACATTCCATACAGCTCAGCACGCGCACCGCACAGCGCACACTGGCTCACCAGGCCCGCCAGCCGCGCCGGCGGCGCCACAAAACTGACGCATAGATTAGAGTAAAAATAGAGTCCTAAGTGAAAGTTGTCTCGGGAGTTGTTTCGAAGAGAGCCATTGCATTTTTGTATATGCGTCTTTGATGCTTGGTTTCCATTCCATTAAACCAGTTGGAGGTAGGTAGATGTTAATGCCAGTTGTGTAGTTATTTGTTGTAATAATTGGTCACGTGTCTTTTTGATCACGGTGTTGAACAGAGGAGCGCTCTCTAGTCGTCCCGCGGCGCGCGGTACCCCTACGTCATATCTAGTCACAACACATTCCGCCGTCGGCCCCCCCCCCCACCCAGCTGGTGACGTCACGGTCAGTGTGACGTCACGGTGTCACCCGCAGTCACCGGTCATATCACGTGGTGTCGGGTCAGGTCAGCGCCAGACGTCGTCGCGCAGCGAGTTTTTCATGTTTGCACAAAGATACCGCCGATCGCTGACGGAAGATAGAACAGCGTGGTATGCTGCAGACATTGTGTGTGCCTGACTGCTTTTGTGTGTGCGTGCGTGTGTAATGTGCGTGACACTCAGCAAATGTATATCGAGACAATACACACAATAACATGACCGATGTGAGTTTCTTCGGGAGCCAGTCGTGGCGTCCTCCGCGGTCAGCCGGTCGAAATGAGACGGTTCACTGATCTAACGCGTCATTTTATTGACTGATGAACTTTATTTATATATGTTACGGGTCATATGCTAACTTGGGCAGTAGGAGCAGACTGCCCGGGCAGTATGCAAACTACCCAACAGCCCGGGCAGTATGCATACCGCCCGGGTAGTATGCATTGCATACTACCCAACCCCTTGGGCAGTATGCATACCACCCAAAAGCTTGGGCAGTTTGCATACTGCCCGCTTCTCGTCTTGAAGTTGTGCATTCCATGTCCATTTTAACCCTCGCCAGGCGAGGACCTTTTCCATAACACAAACGGCGAGGGGGGGGGGGTTGGTACGACCCCCCCTCGCGATTGGCTCCTATATATGGCACTTAGAAACGCCAAATTTACAAGGTAGGTGGGTCCATAGAAGATCTCGCCCCTGTGAAAGTTTGGTGACTCTAAGTCAATATTTAGGGGGTTTTGGGGGGATATGAGTGCAAAAACTTTGCTAAAACATGTTACAAGTTTTTCGCTTATAACTTTTTACCTAGTAAAGATAGAGCAAAAATAAAAGCACCAGTGAACTCAGGACGTCCGTGCGCATCGAATGATAAGTATACTTTGTTATCAATTTTAGTGAACTCTGGAATTCAGTTGCCGCTAAGCTAGTCCAATTTTCCCCTGACCTTGTACCGGTTTTTGTGACCTGGTGACCTGACCTGATAAGACTGGGACTTCAAATTTTCAGGAAAGGTGCGAAAATGTTGCCCCAGAGGGTACGTTTTTACGTTGTTTGCGAAAAACCTTAGGGGGGTTGCATCAACCCCCCTCGTCGGGCGAGGGTTTTATCAGGTCACTGGGGGGTCACAATATGAAAGTGTCGGGTATTGCATGTTTATGGTCCATTTTACATGACAAATGCGATTATGTGGGTCAGGCAGCCTTTAGGGCCAGCTTAGGTCACGTTTTGGTCAAGGTCAGGTCAAATTAGGTAAAATTTCAAAGTTGATATTTTTGCATAAAATTGGTATCGAGCCGATGCAGCTCGTCACGGGGAGTTCAATGGTGGTCTTTGTTTTGCCCTACGTGGTCTAGAATCGCTAAAAAATTGAGTTCAAAAATTTGACGTCGTCATTTTCGAACAGTTTTTTCGCTATAACTTGGCACAAAACAAGATATCGATCTGAAATTTGGTCTGCTTATAGAAGAGCGCAGGGACTATTACATATATTCCGTTTTTATTTCAAAATTAGGATTGTTTTGGATTTTTTTAGTTTTTCTAAAAAATGATTTTTTTTTTGGGGTCAAAAACCCAAAAAATTTGAAAATCCGAGATAACAGTTTTGTAGCGCCGCTTTTTGTCTACTAGACCATATAAAGAACTTTGAAATTGCTTGGTAACTGTAGATTTGGTGATTGTTTCAAGATTGCATGTTTTTTGCTCATTTTTGCTCGAACATGACCTCAGTTTGACCTCAATAACTCCTGACCTAAGGTGACCTAAGACTTGAAATTTGGTGTGAAGGTGTCAACTTGATGCCCGGGAAGGTACTGAAAATTTGGTGGCGCTGTGCCGCCTAAATAGCAAGAAAAGACGCCGTTTTCTTGCTATTTAGGGAAAAACCCCAGGGGGGGGACAAATTGGCCCCCCCAACAGGGGGAGGATTTTAACAAGCATTTTCAAAGTTTTTCATGTGGCCGTGTAGAAAAAAGACGGCGCTACAAAACTGCCATCTCGGATTTGCAAAAATTGTGATTTTGACCTCTAGAATATAAAAATGTCTTTTTGAGAAAATAGCAAAAAAAATCAAATTTCGAAACCCTGGAAAATATATATGGTAGTTCCTGCGCTCTGCTATCTACATACCAAATTTTAGAGCGACACCTCTTTTTTGGCTAAGTTATAGCGAAAAAATATGTTGAAAAGTGATGAGGTAGCATAAAACAAAGACCGATTTTTAGCAATTTTATAGACCACGTAGCATAAAACAAAGACCAACATTAGATTCCCGTGACGAGCTGGATCGAATCGATACCTACCCATTTTATAAGAAAAAATATATCAAATTTAAAATTTGACCTAATTTAACCTGACCTTGACCTGACCTTGACCAGAACATAACCTAAACTGACCCCAAAGGTTACCTGACCCACATGATCGCAGTTGTCATGTAAAATGGACCATAAGACATGCATCACATAGTATTTTCAATTTTCATAATTGTGATCCTCAGCGACCTGACCTCTGTGACCTGACCTGGTATCAGTGACCTCACATAGCAAAATAGGCATATTGTGTTCGACAAACAATACCCCATCGATGATTTTCAATGGCGTGCATGTTACTCGGCTACTCGATTTTTGAGAACTTTGGATTTTGGCCCAAATTAAAAAATACTTTTTTGGGAAAATCATTATAAAATCCAAAATTTTAAGTGTATAAAAACCCTGAATATATGTTAGAGACGTGGTCTATGTGCACCTATATACCAGTTTTAAGAAGAATCGGTTAAAAGATATGGGAGTTGTTCAAACTTTTATGACGTCACGACACACAATTTGTTTTGAAAAATGATTTTTTTTTTTGAAGTTCTAGACCTTGCACAGAAACACAAATAGTACCATTCGATTCGCCGTGAAAAACTGCATCAGATTCCTAGACGCCTTTTAGGTCTTAAGAACCAACTTCAAAATTTGACCTCACTTGACCTGACCTTGACCTGGCCTCGGCCTGAAAATCATTCAAATGTGGTCCATATCACTTATTAAGTGTGCAGTGCTTATTGAATTCTATGAATAAAATGACCATAAAACATGCGTCGCACGTGCCCTTTTCTATATTTCGTTTTTGGTGACCTGACCTGACCTCGACCTTGACCTAAACCTTCGCATGATATTGTATGCAACGAATATTGTCTTGGTAGCCTAAGAACACGTTTCGGGCAATCAGTCTCGGTCCATTCTTGGGCAATTACGGTGCAAGGCCGATACTGTAGAAACTTGCATTTTGTACCCTTGAACTGACCTTGACCTGACCTCTGACCTACTTTAGCAAAAAAAAAATAGGCTCTTAAGATCCGCCTTGCTGAGAGCTTTCGATTGCCGTTTTTCCCGTCCTTATACGACTGCATCAGTTCGGAAGTTAGACAGGGGGCAGTATCTGCCCCCTCCCCCAGCATGGCGCATTTGGCTGAATAGTCCAGCGGGGCGCGGCCAACCCGCGCCCAGCTGGGTTCTGCCGACCAACTGGCCAGGGGGGGGGGGGCAATTTGGCCCCCCTAAGATCTCGAGAACCACGCAACATAGCGACAAGCGGCAAACGGTGTTGGATAGCCCCGTCAGGGAACTACCTTGTGACCCAATTTCGTTGACCTAGCTCAAACCGATGACGTCACAGGTCAGGTCAAATGTCGAATTTTCACCGTTTACAGGCATTTCAAGAAATGCGTTGTAAAATCGAGTAAAATGCATTTAATTGAAAATCATCGATGGGAAAATGTTGGTCAAACACATAATTTGCTATTTGAGGTCACTGATACCAGGTCAGGTCACAGAGGTCAGGTCACTGCATGAGGGTCACAATGTGAAAATATCATGTGATGCATGTTTTATGGTTCATTCAATACGCCAAATACGATTATGTGGGTCAGGCAGCCTTTCGGGTCAGTTTAGATTATGTTTCGGTGAAGGTCAGGTCAAGGTCAGGTCAAGGTCAGGTCAAATTAGGTCAAATTTCAAAGTTGATATTTTTGCATAAAATGGGTATCGATTCGATGCAGCTCGTCACGGGGAGTTCGATGGTGGTTTTTGTTTTGCGCTACGTGGTCTAGAATTGCTTGAAAAGTAAGTTTGAAATATGACGTCATCAATTTTGAAGTTTTTTTCGCTATAACTTGGCCAAAAAAGGAGGTATCGATGTAAAATTTGGTATGTATATAGTAGAGCGCAGGGACTATCACATATATTCCGTTTTATTCGAAGTTCGGAAAATTTTGGGATTTTTTAGTTTCTCTAAAAAAATCATTTTTTTATTTTTAAGGGTCAAAATCCATTAATTTTGAACATTCGAGATGACAGTTTTGTAGCGCTGCCTTTTGTCTACATGACCCAGGCGCGGATACAAGGGGGGGGGGCCATGGGGGCCATGGCCCCCCCCCCTTGGCCGATTTTTTTTCAAAAATAAAGTAAAAAGTTAAAAAGCTGAAAAGGGGGCCTCCTGAAAATAAAGTGGCTATTCATGTTGAGATGTTGCCTGAACAGCTAGATAAGCTCAATAGACGCAGTTTTTTTTTGGGGGGGGGCCCAACAAGTGGGAAGATGGGGCCTCCAACAGGTGGGATTATGGGGGCCTCCTGGTTTCTAATGGCCCCTCCCTTGGAGATTTTCTGGATCCGCCCCTGACATGACCATATAAAGAACTTTGAAATTGCTTGGTAAGGTAACTGTAGCTTTTGTGAGCGTTTGAAGATTTCATGTTTTTTGCTCATTTTTGCTCGAACATGACCTCAGTTTGACCTCAATAACTCCTGACCTAAGGTAACCTAAGACTTGAAATTTTGTGTGAAGGTGTCAAATTGATGCCCGGAAAGTTACTGAAAATTTGGCGGCTCTGCGCGCCGCCGTCTTCTTGCATTTAGGAAAAACCACAGGGGGGGGGGAAAATAAGCCCCCCAGCGGGGCGAGGGTTAATATATCACATTGGTAAAGAAAAATATTTTCAAGTTTGAAAGTCAAGCGTTGAAATCGTAAAGAACGTCTGGGTGGCCGCTTTAACCTGGTCTCCCCTATCTACTTAGGTATCTCGAATGTTTTATAAAGGTCACCTTAGGTCAGGTCGTTGACGTTCACTTGAACTAACCATTATAGGTACCTACCTACGTAAATAGCGAAACATGGACTCTGTTACTTACACCAGAGCCATGATCGCCGATCGGAAACTTTACATCGGCTCAAGCACATGGCATT